TTTCAACTTGTAAGTTATGTAAACACAAAATCAGACAATCAGCAAAATTCTAAAGTTCTGGGCGAAAGCCTAATCAGATTTGCGAGGAAAGCTGATTTCCCAACTCTCAAAAGATGCGGCGAAAAATCGAGAAGAACCGCCATGGAAACTGGCATGGTATAAGCTCCATTTTCAGCAACTGGCGAGCAAAACGAACGTGGTGCTTGAGTTTCGACCTCAGGTATCTGCATGTTTTGTGGGCGAGCGGAATCAGTTTCCTGATATCCGATTGCAATGGGCGTGGGGGAGTTGTTTCCGTCTTGCCTCGATTGATTCCGATTCTAATTGTTTTGGTCTAGTGGTAATCGCCTTTTGTCTGTGCAAATTACCTGAGCCGTGGCGAAACTTCAACCCCCAAATGGGCAAATAATTATTCGTGCGAGCCCGAATCCCAAAAACTCCCTCGGGGCCAAAACAAAAGTGGATTGGAGGAGAGAAAAATTAAGCAAATATCACGTCGTTCACATTTGAACTTCAGACGAAATCAAAGGCAAGCTGAGTTGTTGGATACAATGGAAACTTGGCCACAAGTTGAGTAAACGTTGTGTTGCCGAATTTTCCCTGCTTCGGTGTTCGAATAATTGTGTGTAGTTAAGTGGGACTCCGTTTGATTCAGCTTCGGTTTTAATTACAGAAAGGGCTCAACAGCTGAGCAATAAAGTTTGGATAGCCCAGATGAAGTTCAACAAATTGGCAGTAGATGCGGGTGTTAATGATGGACTACCTTTATGGATGACAAAGAATTCAGACTTCTTTGGAAGCACAGGTGAGTGATAATTATTTTGAATTTTGTTATCTTATATATATAAATCTCCTGTCACGATGTTTGTCCGCGATGGACTCCTAAACTACTTAACCGATGTTAAATTAAATTGGCATACCATAAGCAGTCCGGTCCAACTTGAGAGATAGGATAGCTTAGATCTTTAATTAAAGTCGCAATTTTATTTTATTGCTAATTATTTGTTTATAATGGATTATGTTCGCCTGGTACCTAAAAGTGGATTTTCCAATTTGTCCCTTCGAATTCGTTCCGCCAATACCAACATATTCAACCAAACCTCATTTTGAAGTACCAGGCGAACAGAATGCAATAGTAAGTGGTTACATTTTTTTAATATTTTCAAATTGCCCGCAAAAGTATGCTATAAAAAATAAGCAAGAGCAACACCACGTTTTGTCTACGAAATATTGGCAAATTTGCTGCTATGCTAAACCGACAATAGCCTGATTACCACGCGTTATTGAGGTTAAGGTATAAATTAAATTTATTTTGTAGTAAACGAAATAGCGTGAAATTCTAATATTTCTACTTTTTTAATTTTTGGTGTTAGCATAGCCAACCACGTACGTAGACCGAAGTGTAAATCAAATTCAAATTATAGTGACGAATTATTGTCATACAGTGAAATCATTCCTGCTTTTTAGTTATGATTCAACCAAGCTAAATTACGATCAGAAGAATATATTCACTTACGAGATGCTGTTGCTGGAAATATAGACGGAAATTTAAATCCTAATGACATCGGTAATGCTTTTATTTTACCTTCAAGCTACATTGGCAGTCCACGAAACATGCAGGAATACATACAAGACGCGATGACTTACGTACGTCATTACGGCCGACCGGATTTGTTTATTACATTTACATGTAACCCGAATTGGGAAGAGATACAAACTTTATTATTATCAGGACAACAAGCAGTTGATCGTCATGATATAACTGCTCGCGTGTTTAAACAAAAATTGAAATCCTTAATTGATTTTATTGTTAAATATTCAATTTTCGGTATCCTACGTTGTTGGCTGTATACGATTGAGTGGCAAAAGCGAGGTTTGCCTCATGCTCACATTTTGATTTGGCTTGAAGATAAAATCCGCCCAGAAGAAATTGATCAAATAATATCAGCTGAAATTCCAGACCCATTAATTGATCCAGAATTATTTGATGTTGTCACTAAACACATGATCCATGGGCCATGTGGTGCTTTTAATATCACGTCGCCATGCATGGAAAATGGAAAATGTAAGAAAAATTTCCCAAAGCCGCATACGAATGACACTATCACGGATATTGATGGTTATCCTATATATCGCCGCAGAAATACTGAGAATGGTGGCCACACATTTACAATGCGACTGCCAAATTATCCAAATCAAACAGAATTTGATAATCAGTGGGTGGTACCATATTCACCATTACTTTCAAAAACTTATAAAGCTCATATCAACGTCGAGCTTTGCAGTTCTGTAAAATCAATTAAGTACATATGTAAATATGTAAACAAAGGCAATGATTTGGCCATATTTGAAGTACAAGATATACATAAAAATGACGAAATAGCACGATACCAAATGGGTAGATATATTAGCAGCAACGAAGCTATTTGGCATATTCTCAGCTTTCTTTCAGAGACTTAAGACTATCTGCCTTACCTACAGTTCTTCTTTAATTGTATACTTCAATATAATATTACAATAACTTTAGCTACAGCAACGCGTAGCCGGGTCTGCTAGTCATTTATAAATATAATAAAACAATAAGTTTTAATAATTTTTTATTTTTAAGTTAAGTTTTTATAACATTTATTTTTGCAGCGACAAATAAATAAACGTTGAACAAGTTGGCAACAAACAAGAGAGTTCACTGCTAAATCATCGAACGCAGGCAACTCGTTTAAACTTCGATGAAAAAAGGAAAATGGGGAATCCCCAAACACGCACACATGCGAAGGGCGAAAGTCAGTGTAAGAGTGTTTGTGCGTATGTGTGTGTGTGTGAGTAAATTGTAGAGTTGGCGCAAACGAGTAAAGAAATCGCTCATGCAAAACTGATTGACTGTAACGAAGAAACTGTAAAAAGAAACACGAAACTTGTTACAGTTGCTGCTGATTTTTAGACCCAGCCACGCCGCCCTGCAACCGCCTTTTGGCTGCCCGCCCCCCCAATTCGTTGCCTGTTATCTGTCGGCGTTCATTTTTGTACATCGCTCACCCTCACATATGCAACGTATTCATTTGCCGCCGCTTCCAGAGATCCTGCTCCTGCATCCTCGGGTTACTGATTTTTATTGAAACGAAAATATCGTTGGCTGCGCTGCCCTTTCCTCTTATGGCCGTCAGCTACCCCCTTCCTCCACCCGTCACTCCACTTTTTGGGGAGCCGCTCTTCTTCTTTTTTGTTGGTTGCGCACTTAATTGAAAGGAATTGTTAATTCACACAGGACCCCATCTCCTCGCCCGATTCATCGCCTTTGTGCGTGATTGGTTGGCGCTGTAAACGACGGTAACTGTACTCCTTCTTGGAGCATCCCCCTTCACTCCCGACCTCAAATTCAGTTATTTTAATTTTTGCTTGGCAAAAAGTAACGCATGACGCACTTACACTCTTAAAAAATTGCTAAAATTGAGTATTTAAGTTGTAATTTGTTTAACATTTCTAAAATACCATTTTTATGTTCTTAATAAATTTATGAAACATTTATCATATGCATTATTGTAGTATTATTTAATTGCTGTTATTTTTGTGAGCTGTTCAAATCATTAAACCTATTTAAATTATTTCTGCAGAAGAACTATCAGTGTATTATATTTTTGTTATGGATTTCCAACCTTTTGTCAAAATATATTTTTGAGTGCACATTCAGTTAGCAGTACATCATTTGATGGTTTACATTTTGTTTGTAAGACAGAAGGCGTCTGTCAGACGTTTGTCGGCCTCCTTCCACGAGCCGAACTCGTTGTATTTATTCGTGACACTTATTTGTCATTTTTAGCGTATAATAGCATTGTGTGGATTATAAAAGGATTATAGCCCCCAGTCCGCCGGCTCCTTTCAAACCCAAGCAGTCTCCTCTGCGCCGCAATAATTGCTCACGTTCTCACGCGCTCTCAACGCCTCACCCCCTGTGGCTTTTAAAACCAATTTGGCAAAACCGTCCGACCACCAACAACCAAGTCAACCAGGTCAAAAGGCTGCTCCAAGATGTGTGTAATTAGACGTGACTTTTCCTCGAGTTTTTCTGAAGGGTTCGAGGATGGCCGGGGGCCAAATCGGGCCTTAAAGTCTTCTTAACGCTGTTGTTATTTAGAGCTTAATTGTGCCACGACACGGAGGAGCCCCAGGATTGTGTGTGGTGGCCGGGCGCCAATTATGGAGAAGGGGTGAACGTGAACTGCCCTCAAGGTTCAAGATGGATTAAAGTCCGCTTCAATGGTTAATCCATGGGGCTTCCGCCCCTTAGCATTGCCCCACTCAACCGCAATTAGCCAGGCAGAAGCTCGATATCGACACATTAGCATCTCCCCTGCACAGCAGGAATAATCTGATTATCAGCCACCAACCCCCGTACAATCCGTAACCCCAGTGAAAAAGTGCTAATTTGTACACGGAAATCACGCCCAGGAGCAGGAGCACGGATTTCCCAGCATTGGGTTCGTGTGCGTGTCACCTTCAGCCGACGGTTTCCCTTTTTCGCCTTTGTGCAAATTGAAAATATGCCAAATAATTACACATTTTTATGTGAATTTTTCAATTTATATGCCGTCAAATAAACGCTGCGTGCACATCAGAGTATTGACATCAAGTTGGGCGGGAGTTACGCCCCCCTTTCGCATTTCCCCAAGCTTTTCGCAATGTTGTTAAAACATCTTGTGGCAGTTTATTTATTCAAAAACTGCCGACCTTGAAAAGCTCTGATTTAGTGAAGAAAAAATTTGCTAGGTGGCGCCTTTAGCTAGTTTCTACATAAAATTACATATGCTTACAACGTATGTAACATTTTAGTAATAAAATGTAGAAAGTACACTCGTCGAATTTTAAAATATATTTAAAATAGAAAACCTTTGATATTTAATTTACATTAAATCCAATCAATTACAAATTTACAGTGAGAATTTGTTCCGTTTTATACTAATTAATTAAGAGAATAATAAATAGAACCACCCAATAAAAGCCGGACGTTTATATATTGACTGTTATTTAATGCGTTTACAAATATCTGGGTGTGTTGTTCAGTAACAACATGCACTCAAAAAAACTTACAAAGTTCAGTGTTTATGAAAACCCTACGCCAATAGCAGGGTGTCAGTGGCCAAAAGCCAACCATTTCCTGGTACTTGGCCGATAATTGTAATTAGTTATCAAATACATAAGCTGACAAATGCAGTTTCATACATTTTAAATGTACAAAAAGGGATGATAGGATGCGAAAATGATAAAGATACAACACAAAAGGGGAAAAGTTAGTTCAAATAAATGAACTAAATTGGGATCAAAGGGGAAATAGGAAAGTTAATGAGATGATTGAGATGCGGGTGGATCTCAGTTTAAGCGCTGAGTGACCGGCAGCTTCTTGCGTCGTCTACGCAATTGCTGACTGCGTTCCCAGTACCCATAGTATCGTTCCTGTTTCAACCACTCCTGATATTTATACCACCACTCCTCCCACTTGATATAGTCCTGCAAGAAAATTGTACACAAATTAGTATCCAGTGCAGATAATTGCTAAAATCACCGCTTACCTTTAGGTCCAAGTCCCTCAAGTAACCACGACTCTTGTAGTACTCGTAACGGACGCGCACATCGTCCCACGACAGCATTCCCGACGGTGCTGTGGTGGCCAACTCCTCCGGAAAGTGCCCGGCCGGTGCCGGCGAATACGAATAGCGACGCGGCGGCGACTCCAGGCCCTCTTCGATCATCACTTTGAGGGCCCCACCGGCGGAGTCTTTGGTGATGCGCATGTTTTCCATGTTGCTGCGATCGATGCTCCATTGCGCCATTTTGCCGAATCGCTCCGAGAGCGTCAGCCGCGTCGTTGCCGAGAAAGTCGGCAGCGTGCCAACCTCGTCGCTGTCCGAGCCGTTCGAATCGTCCGAATCCGAGGAGGAGTTCGCCGCGTTAGCTCCGGTACCACTGGTCGTCCCGCTCGGATGCTTTTTGCGTTTCTCACCTTCAATTTTTATGCGTGGCCTCAACTGATGGGAGAAATTTGGATTATTAGGTTTGAGTTTTGATAAATTTCAAATATGGTCTCTCACCTCCTTTTCCTTTTTCTTCTTCTTGGTCTGTCCTGCCGGTGCTCCAGTTGGCGCTGATGCCGGCTCTGGAGGCTCTGGCGGACGGTGCTTGAGACGCGGATCTTCCGGCGGCGGCGAGTGACGCGACGATCTCGCAATCTTCATGTGGGCATCCGACGATGAGCCGCGATCATGGCTGATGAGACGCATCTTCGCCTGCCGGTACTTTTCCATGGATACCGAACTGCCTCCACCTCCGCGCACGGGCGGTGGAGTGGTGGGTCGACCATGGATGCGGCCATGTGACTCCGACGGAGGGGCGGCGGCGCCCCCGAACGATAATGGCCACGTGGCTTGGGCGGTGGTGAACGCGGACCGCGGGATCTGAAGTAGGGAAGTCAACATTGTTAAATCAGGTGGCTTAAATGATAACCCACTGTCCAGCTTACCGAGATCTGTGACGATGGCTGGGCGAGCAAAGGGAGCAGGAGTCATCGGAACTGCTGCTCATCGAGCTGTTTGAACGCGAACGTATTGAGTGCTGCAAGAAAATATAAAATGAACAATTAATAAAAGATGAATTAAAATTTACTTTGATTACTTACCCTTGGCGGTGGCGATGGTGGACGCTTCGAACGCGGCAGGATGTGAGCGACGGCGCCGCGTTTATCCATTCCCGACGTCGAGGGCGGCGGAAGCGGCGGCGACCGACGACGCCCCAACGGAGAACGCGACGCGTTTGGCTTGCGTCTCAGCGACGAGGAGGACGAGCCACCACCACTGGGTTCCGGAGGCGATCGAGGCCGTCCGCCGTGGCCATTTCCCGGACGACGCATAAGGGCGTCATGACTGTTGTTGGGCGAACGCGGCATGGGCGGTGATCGCGGTCCTCCGCGTCGGTCCATGTGCATGGACATCGGAGGCGATCGGCGACGCGGTGGAGGCGACAGCGGAGGCGATTTGCGCAAACGCGACCGACTGCGCGAATGGGGCGAACGCGAGCGGCCGTACCGCTGCGACGACGAGGGTGGCGGCGGACCGGGCGGTGGTCCGCCTGTGGGTGGATATCGACCATATGGAGGAGCTCCTCCGTCACGACCTTCGCGTTCACTTTCACCGGAACTGCTTTCGCCTTGGATGTACATCTTCTTGTAGCCCGTGTGACGCCAGCGATTCGGATCCTTCTCCTCCGCCTCGATCAGCTTCTTATCCCAATAATCGTTGGTGGTGTTGGCGCGCGCCTTCTTCATGACGTTGTCGATCTCGCGTCGCTTTCCGGCGGGTAATGAGGGATCTGCAAGGTGAGAGGTAAGAGGTCAGCTTCGGTTCGGCAGGATTGTTGGGTGGTGGGTGCTGATCGTTCCGGGAAGTCCGTTTATGACCCTCGGACATCGCTAATCCCGGCGAGGCGCGGGGTTTTTCAATCCCCTTATCCTAGAGTTGCTGCTGGTTGGTAGAGATCAGTTTTCAGGTACCTGTTATGCGGGCAGCTGTCGGCTGCCTGTCCATGTGCAGTTTGGGATTCAGTTCGGCGCGCCTGCGCGACGCCATCGCGGTATTTCGTTCTCTCGCTCTGGCAAATATCGCATATATATCGCGCACGTTTTTCTTTTTTTTTTTTTGTCTGGGTGAATTTATGGCCCAAGCGATAGATACTCAGTTTTATTACCCCGTAAAATCGGTTAGGGTTTGGCGAACGCGACAACACAATTTACCATTTTTCATAAACATACACAACAAGCTGCAAATATATTACAATTGAATATAGAAACGTGTAAGAGAACATTAAAAAAGACCAACTGAAAACAACATCAACAATATCAAGAGCGGAGTGAGAGAGAAATGGGAGCTGCTGAGAGGGTTTGGAGTTCGTAGCTCGGAGCGCGGGCAGCTGGCGAGAAAGCGGAGACAGCTGAAAACGCAGAGGGAGTGAAACGCGGACACGTTCCGGCTGCCATACAATCCATATCGCGACGTAGTCCGTGCCCAAACTGGGCGAGAGAGCCGATCTGCAACCGGCTTGCACGCTCTATTCACATATGCTTTTTCCATTTCTTTCTTCGGCTTGGTTCACGCACATACACATTCATACACAAACACACCAGCACCAATATATATATTTTTTTTTTTTGCCTTGTCAGCACGATAGGAACTCAGAGCGAGAGCGAGACAGAGAGACTGAGACAATGTGAGACTCCCGACGGCAGCAACAAAAACTTCCGATTTTAATCTCTGACGATTATGTAAACGGTGTAAAACAGGCACTAAACTAATTTGCTTACATTTGGCTACGTTTTCTTGCACGTTTTTCGGTATTATGTGAGGTTTTAGTGGGCAAATGGAAAACACGGCGTTGCGTTCAGTTTTTCTCGACGGCCATGTTGGTAGAGTTGGAGCGAAGAACGATGTCTACTCGATACTATCGATTGTTGCAGAAACCATCGGAGCAACCCCGGGTTCCCCGGTCACAGTTCACAGTTCACGGCTCACGGCTTTTAATTATAACAAAATAATTAAAAATAAAGATATATGTACATTTATTTATGTGGATGATCACCCATTTGTTATGTAGTATATAATATATATTATGACATAAGTTCTGGTTGTGTGAGAAAATAAAAATGCTCATGTAATTAAAAAAAATTTTTTTTTTATATATATCTCCATAAAAACGACAACCTATGTATATATTACTGCAAAAAAATTATAAAACAAAAAGAAAAACCGAAATTGAAAATGGGAAAAGTGTGACTAAAGAAAAAGTGATCTCAGTAGTTTTTATTCAAGGATATTATGACCCTCCCCTTAACATATAATGGAAGTTTCCGCGTATATAAAACTCCACATCCGCTGGGGTTTTACATAAATGGAATTCCCAAATTCCAGCTGCACATAATATACGATGGGTAGAAGTAACACAATTAAATTTTCCATCATCCCCAAAAAGGCTGTATCCTGGGCACGAATTGTAAAACTTCTCTATTTCTTCAATCATGCTGTCGTATTGAATTTTGGACAGATTATATGTGTGCTTGTCAGAATAACTTCTGCCCCTCATTTCCGAGGCTGTGGATTTGCCGCAACGGCCGCCAGATGAAAAGCTAAAAGTAGTTGTTTTTTTTTCATTTTGTATCACCAGCCATGTATGAACAAAACCATGAAAATCCAAAACGCGATTGTCATTGTAAATAGTGGCTTTATAAAATTCTCGCGATCGTTTGCTTCGAACGGAATTTATCTAAAAAAATATTTAATATTAGTATAAAGAAAAATAACTCAATAAATATTATCCTTAAAGAAAACTTTACCAGATTAGTCGGAGTCGCTCTAAATTCTGCAACGCTCGCAAATAATATTAAGCACACAATTTGTACAATCATTTTTTTTTTTGTATTGAAATGAAATACAGCCTAGAGAGCGAGGAATAATAATAACCAAAAGTCAATGTATATTCTGTGATTTTATACAATTTTCGTCGTCAGTTGTTATCAACATCGCGCCTTTCAAATTTTGTCGTTAGTTGTTATCATTTAACAACCTATTAACCTATTTAATAACCAATTTAAAATGATTATTTTGAACTGGGAAATTTGGAAATGGGGGATATAGGAAAAGGAAACAGATTTTGATCTCTGACATCATCACCAGAAATTTCTTTTAAAAAAACAACATGTCTCAATTATGTTTTTATACCCTTGCGGAACAAAGGGTATTATAATTTTGGCCAGAAGTTTGCTACCCAATAAAGGAGACACCTTATAAATATTCTTGATCAGCATCACGATCTGAATCTGTCCGTTTCTGCGCAAACTAACAGGCCGGATGAAAAGTCCCCGGTTTACCATAGTAAAAAACATTTTTTTTGCAAAATTCAATTTTATTATTCAACATAGTTGCCTTCGAGGGCGATACAGCGATTATAGCGATTTTCCAACTTTTCGATGCCACTTTTGTAGTACTCTTTCGGTTTATCCTCAAAATAGGCCTCAGTTTCAGCAATCACTTCATCATCGGTCTTAAATTTCTTGCCAGCGAGCATTCTTTTAAGGTCCGCAAACAGGAAATAGTCGCTGGGGGCCAGATCTGGAGAATACGGTGGATGAGGAAGCAATTCGTAGCCCAATTCATAAATTTTAGCCATCGTTTCTCCAGACTTGTGACATGGTGCATTGTCTTGGTGGAACAGCACTTTTTTCCTCTTCAAATGCGGCCGTTTCTTTGCGATTTCGGCTTTCAACCGCTCCAATAAAGCAATGTAATAGTCGCTGTTGATTGTCTGTCCCTTCTGGAGATAGTCGATGAATATTATTCCATGCGCATCCCAAAAAACAGACGCCATAAACTTTCCAGCCGGCTGTTGCGTTTTTCCACGCTTTGGATTGGGTTCGTCGCTTGCTGTCCATTCAGATGATTGACGATTGGACTCTGGAGTGTAGTGATGGAGCCATGTTTCATCCATTGTCACATATCGACGGAAAAATTCGGCTTTATTGCGCTTAAACATCTCCAAACACTGCTCCGAATCATCAACTCGCTGTTGTTTTTGATCGATTGTGAGCTCGCGCGGCACCCACTTTGCACAGAGCTTTCGCATGCCCAAATATTCGCGAATGATATGATGTACACGTTCCTTTGATATCTTTACAATGTCTGCTATCTCGCTCAACTTCATTTTACGGTCATTCAAAATTATTTTATGGATTTTTTTGATGTTTTCGTCGGTAACAGCCTCTTTTGGGCGTCCACTGCGTTCACCGTCTTCAGTGCTCATTTCACCACGTTTGAACTTAGCATACCAATCAATGATGGTTGATTTTCCTGGTGCAGACCCCGGAAACTCTTTATCAAGCCACGCTTTGGCTTCAACTGTATTTTTTCCTTTCAAAAAGCAATACTTTATTAACACACGAAATTCTTTTTTTCCATCTTTTCAACAATAACAAAAGTAGCTTCACTCAAATCGATATAACTCCCGAACTAATTGTCCGATTGCTGTCAAATTTTGACACTTATCGTTTGAAGGTTGGTACTGAATGAAAATCATATGGAAACAAATCTAGTAACGCCATCTATGGGTCAGACCGGGGACTTTTCATCCGGCCTGTTAGTCTCTAAAAAAATTCTCACTCCGTTGTTTTTGATCAGATCGACTTGATTTCTTCCAGTTAGTGATTTTTAACCACTATCGAATTTCGGTTAAAATTTGATCAAAATAACTGAATTAGTTTCCTGTTGAAGCGAAAAAATGTGTCTACTCGATACTATCGATGGTTCCAGAAATCATCGGGGCTACCGCGGGTTCCACAGTCACATTCACAGTTTGCACTGTCACGGTTTAAGATTAAAGCAAATTGAATAAAATAAATTTACAAATTTAGTAATGCCGAAATTCACCCGTTTGTCCTTGCGCCACATAAGGTCATTAATTTTTAATTAGGCTGAAATTAATTTTTGGTATCGTAAGCCAGCAAGGAAACGTTGCACCAGCACATCACTAGTTCTACTCATTGCAATCTGCAATGGGCACACTGTTAATTTTTTGTGAGATTTCTTGAAATTATTTATTTTGAAAAATTAAAATGCAACGCGACGAAAAACTCTTCGAGTTGACGTTAGATACGGTCCTTCAGCGTCTTAATGATCTCAAGCTGGCTGTTCTCTCCATGATCCAGAAGCTGGAGATGGAATACGAGACTATTAATTGGCCGACATTTCTGGACAACTTTGCCATAATCTCGAGTCATCTTACGGGCTTGACCAAGATTTTGGCCAAGGAGCAGTGTCCGCCGTTAAGGAACCGCACCGTCCTTCCGCTACTCGTCTCAATGGACCGGGATGAGACCCTGATTAATATTACAGAAGGCCGGGTGCCTGTTTTTTCACACGACATAGTTCCGGACTATCTGAGAACCCGGCCGGATCCGATTACGGAGCAAAAGATGCTTCAAAACGAGCAGAAGGCGGCGAACCTTACAAACGACGCCGCCATGAAGCAGGTCACCCAATACAACAAGGTCGTGTCCCATGTTCTCGACATGGTCAGTAAGGCTCGCGAGGAATGGGAGATCGAGAGCTCCTCAAGAACCGGCATCCAGCAGACGAGCAGCATGGCCGATACCCAGCTTCTGGTGGCCGCCGTGGGCATGGGCAAGGGCCTCAAGCTGGCCAACTACGGACCTGGGCCGGGCATGATGGTGCCGCCTTCGATCCGCGCACCTTCGCCCATGGGCGGACCCGCCATGAGTCCTGGCAACGTGCAACAGCAGCTGGGAAAGGCCCCGTCGGCCGTGAAGACCAACATCAAGTCCGCCAACCAAGTACATCCGTTCTCTCGATAGCAAAATCCGTAGTATATATTGGCTATTTTCGCTTCCCTCTGGCGGAATGTGTCGTAATAAGTTACATGTCCCTAATTCTAAGGCTATGACTAAGCAAACATAAACATGAACAAAATCAAGTGGTTCGTCTCTTCATTTCCAACTCAGACTTCCTTCTTTTCCGGCTGTGCGTGCTTCTCGCTGATGAGAATCTCGTGCAGCTTAATATCCTTCGGCGTGGACACATCCACCAGTTCCAAACACAGAGCCAGTGTTTCGTCCTTCTGTTTGTGCAGGCGCCGCACGATTCCGATGAACTTTTGACCCAGTGTCAGCTGACGGAATCGAATGCAGTTATCTTTGCTCCAAACAACGTCTGCTAACTGAATGCCTGAAAAACAAATTTATATATATTTAATAATATTTTATAATTTATAAAAAAAAAAAAAAAAAAAGAAAAGCTTATACTTATAACCTTGTATCTTGACATTACAAATGTCGAGCAAAATGCATAAATTTTTTTTTATTTCTTTGTCATTTATTTTATTTGATATTGTCAACCGATTTTTATGAAAGTAAATTTAATTATTTATTTATTTAAAAAACTAAAAATTACTTTAAGAGGCATGCTACTTCAAAATCGGATTAAAATTAAAAAGTTATGGACTTGGATTTAGTGAATTTTGGTCAATTATTTCGTCTAGTTCGATTCAGAGTGTGTTGCTGATCAAGAATATATATATGTACATTATGGGACCTTAGGTGTCTCATACAATGCATTGCATACTTGTGCAAGGGTATAAAAAGCTACTCTTATTAACTCACCATATAATTGGGCTGGGAGTGCCATCTTCGGCAGCTTCCTTAATTCCGGCTGCAGAGTTTTTAGCTGATCGCAGGCAATCACTCCATCGTCGCCCAGATCCACGAATCTCACGTGTATTATCTCATCGTAAATTTTGCGAATATTTACGCTAAAGTTAAACAGTTTCAAAAATCAATAAGTCATTTAAATTGTAATTCTATTTTGGATGCCTTTTTGGATTTTGATTTGGCATTATCTAAATAACTACTTACCGATGATATACGCCTTCGCTGTCGGGAGCTGCGTATGCCTCTCCAATGGCCAGTTGGGATGGCTGGACTCCCTTGGCGGCAGGGCTTTTGCAATGCTCTTGCAGATCCTTCATTAAAGCCTGCAGCTGGTTATAGCATTTATAGGGTTGCACCTGCAGGAAGATTGATTTAATTGTAAATAATATTTATGAATTTTGAATTACTAAACCTACCGCAAAGTGAGCGGGATTCACGGAGAGGGCAACCCGCACCTCGAAATAGGCGCCAACTGCTGGAATGGCCTCGTAATCCTTAAGCACGAGCGAAGAGAAGGAAGTGACTCCCGATCTTGGAATTGCCGCCTTCATTGGTGTAACCGGCGGAGTAAGAGCCACGAGGTCACTTCCGCTGCTCTGGCTGGAGACCACGGAGCTGTAGCTGCCGCGTCTTGGCAAGTGGACGTTGGAACTCAGGGGCAAATCATCGTATTTCTCCGGCCGAATGGAGCTGCGCGGGTGGGGAATCGAGGGGGGAAGGTGGAAGGTGGGTAGAAGCCGGATAAGGAGTGGCGGGGATAACAGTGGGTGTCGCGGTTTAAAAAATGTTCTTGCTTTTTGACTTACTGGGTAGTAATGTGGCAACTTATGAGTATATTTTTCAGATTATATACAAAGATGTGAATGACTTAGGGTTAGCTTACAGTAGGTTTATTTACGGGGTATGTTCGTTAGCGTTGATCGAATTTGTTTTAGCGATAGCCTATCATGTCAGTTCCAGATTATCGAAAGCACTAATAGAGACAGCATTAACCAAAGGATCGATTACAATAATATATTAGCTCAGTAATATGAACTTATAGGGCACCGGTGGTCACGGTTCAGATGTCGTTGGGTAAGGAGCTTGATGGTGTAGTGATGATGAGTTTTGATGACATTGACCAAATGATATTAAATGAATACACAATGCAAATGAGCCTTATTCAATCCCACTTACCTCGCCATCTCGAATTCCAGGCGAAGGCCGATGTTTATGCACATGTACATCGATTCCGGATCCTGTCCGCGGATGAACACGTTGACCAAAGGCTTTGAGCCATCCTTGGCCACCACTTTAAGCTAAAAGAATCACGTCAGCATTTAATTGGGTGAACTTTCATTTAAAACCTACCAAGGCCTCACAGCGCGGAGGCATCAGTCCACGAAGACGCCCCAGCATCTGGCCCGCGATCTCCGGAACGTCGTGAAGACGAACGGGCAGTGCCTGTGGCGGGAATGTGGCCAGTGCTCTGTTGCTCGCTTCCAGGCGGTAAATGTTGGAGATGTGCGTCTTGCGCTGCCGTCCGTCGTCCACGTAATAGACGTCGAAGGTCTCCTCCTCTGGATTCTTGGGTCGGGTCACCAGTCGTCCGCGGAACCATTGCTTCTGGCCCTCGACAGACTCGTCGCAGACGAAGACATGGCGATCGTGCAGCAGATCGGAATAGCTCACGCGGTCCTGCTCGCCCAGATCAGCCACTGTTTGGGCTATGCTGCGCTCCAAGAATTTCAAATCCTCGTTGCGGATTAGCACCAACAGGTCGCCATCCTCGTTGATGTGCGACACGAGGATCGGTGTGGTCTTACCGATTTTCTTTTCGTCCGTTAGCGTGGGTGGCGGTGTACATTTTGTGATCCTGCTGGCCACCAGGTCGTTCAAGTGAATGTCCTCGGCCGTCGAGGTGTCGTACAGCGTTGCCACCAAACAGGCCCGTCGCTTGCCCTTCTCCTCAACTCCCTGCGCAGCTCCGCCCAGTTCGAGGAACTGCTTCTGGGTGGTGAGCACATGGGCCACAACCGTCTGACCATCCAGTTCCTTGGACAGAACCGCCTGGGCATGCGGATGGTCCTCGAACTTGTCCAACGCATACATACTCAGGCAGACGGCCTGGGCAGGAAGCACTAGGAACTGCGGCGGGCACTGGAACAGATCGGCGAACTCGAACAGAGCCACGTCGCCGAAGTCCACGAAGTGGCAGCGGCACGATCGCTGCTCCTCGTTCACGGAGATTACACGCACGCGGTTCCAGCCATCGGGGATCTCCACGAGATAGACTTCCTGAAGAAAAGGTTTAACCACCGGCTGTCGGAACAGCGGAACCGCCATTTGACGGCCCATGTGCTTGGTCAGCTCATCGAAGTTGGCTATCTGATCGATCAGTCGAGCCCACACCTGCTTGGTGGAGTCGCAGTGGCTGATGAACATGTTCCAGTCGTGCGGACCACCTTCGAGTGTCTGCCATGGCAGCTGTGGCTCCGGCAGTATGCTGGGTGTGCTGATGCGAGCCGGTTCCGGTATTCCAGGATCGTTGGCGAACAATATGATCCTCGGGTCAATGCCGTGCTCCACGCGGATCTTCTTTGACTCAATGATCAGATCGTACCAATGGCCGGGCAGGTGTTGTCGGAAGGTGCTGCTGTACCAGTCCTCCAGCTTGTGTCCCAATATGCCATGCGGGTACTTCAGCAGCTCCTTGTACAATCCGTCGATGAACTCCTCGTCGCCAAGCGTGCAAGCGGAGAGCTTCTGGTGCGACTCGGCGTGCTGGATGCGCTGAATGGCAACCTGGGCTGTGCGTTGGCGGGCCGATTCCTCGTCGGCGAACTCCTGCGGATAGCTGCTGTACACATCGCCATCGATGCGAACGGAACAGTGCAGGCGAGGCGGCTTGTTGAAAATGTTGAATACGGGTGTTTCGAAGCCATTTTCCTGGCAATAGCGATTCAGCGAGGAGACGGCGTCAAGGGAAGCATCGATTTTGATGGCCACCTTTGATTTTGGCGCGGGATTAGCCTTGACTGCCTGCGCCTGCTGCACTCGCATTAAATTCTCGTTGTGCGCGGCTTTGACGGCAGCGGGCTTCGTTTGAGCGTTTTCCGGGGAAGCAGGCGGAGTGATGGGCGCTACCCCTGGCGAGGGAGAATCCGTTGGTGGCTTCACTTTCAGTCTATGATTCACGGAGCTTCCCGTGGAGCGAACCTGTCCGGGATGGAGGACACGCGGATGGAGGGGCCGATTGAAGTTAGATTCGGGGGTATTGAAAACGCTGCTTGCTTCATGTTGGCGCTGCGGTGCACTGTTTCCAAGGATCGCACGCAGCGGAGGCTTGCCGCCATTGTGTTTGCCTTGACCGTTGGTTTTGCCTTGACTTTGACCGTGGCCATTCATGGCTGGCGCCTTGTCATTCGCAATAGTCACTAGGATCTTCTCCTGGTCCAACTTTGCAGCTCGCATGACCACCGATGGTTGTCGATTTGGCAGTATATCCCGCTCGCCCCTTTCCTTCTTTTCCTTTTCTGCGTGCTCCTTCTCCTTCAGTTCAGCTTGCTTAAGCTTTTCAATCTTTTCTTGCTCCTTTCTTTGGCACTCCTTCAAGTTTTCCTGATCCCGCAAAATTTTCCGCTCCTTGTCCTTAAGTTCAGCTTCCTTTTCTTTTGCTCCTGCTCCTTTCGATGGAATTTCTGCTTAAGATTTTCCAAATCTTCCGTTCGCTTTTTGAGCTCCTGGTCCTGCTGCCTTTTGCAGTCCTGCAAATGAATATCGAGCCGTATCTGCAACTCTTTTCTGAACCTTTCCTGCTCCTTTTTTAGCTCCGCCTGCAGCTCCTTGTTGATCTCCTTTCTCAGTTCTTGTTCCCTTAGCTCTTTTTCCCGCTTGGCCTTTTCCTGCAGCACACGCTCCTTGTTCCGCCGCAGCTCCTCTTCCTGCCTCCTTTCTTGTTCCCTGTGCAGCTCCTGCTGTTGTGCCCAATTAATTTGAGGAGCTTGATGGTATTGCTGTGCAGCTGATGGCCAGTACCCCTGCTGTTGCCGATACTGATGCTGCTGCTGCTGTTGTCGGTGATACTGCTGGTACTGTTGGTTGTGCTGGTTCTGCTGAGCATGAGCTTGGTAATTCTGCTGATTGCTCCTATGGAAAAGTAGTTCTCTCGGAACCGCTGGCGATGGCTTTCTAAGTGCCTTTGTCTTGCTGCTCTTTTGCTGGCGCACCATAGACGCAATGTGCTCGGTTTTGGCGTTATACCTTGCGGTGATGATGATCTGTTACAAATATAAACAGATATTATAATAATTATAGACTGAAGTTTATATAATAAGTCAATAATAAAAATCAGCGTTAGTTAAAAACTGTTAAGCTGTTTAAATTAGAAATTCTTAAAGCCAATATAATTATGGGGCCTGTCCTCTTGTACCAGTACTTTATGAAATTTTTGTTTTTCTAGAATAGCAAAGAACGTTCAAAGCGGAAACTTGGATCCTATTAATAATATATTCCACTTCTGGGAACAGGAAATCTCTCCGCTTGGTCAACTCTTGAGCTTGGGTAATAAAATATGCCCCATAAAACTGCAGAGCCAGCTACTTTACAGTCGAACCCATTTTGAGTTTACTCAAGTGCTGCGGAATGGTGTTTGGAAATCCGAGTGGTTTGAAATTTAATTTTTGTTTATGATTCACATTGAACTTTATCGTCTTTATAGGGTCTCAGCTCCAAGTCTGGATATGGGCAGGGCTCTTTGAAACCCAAGACGTGATAATAGTGCAGAGCGAGAGCTCTGAAACGCTGATAGGGAATACATAAATTCATTATTGCATATTAAATGAATATCATCATTCGTTTGCTTCGTGCTGCATCCCTCGGTTGTCTGATTATTGATTTGGCAAGAATGCAATTGCGTTGGCCGGAACAACCCACCCATTACGCCCACTTTCGCCCACAGGTGAGAAAACATACTGCTGAACAAGAATAATGCAATAAGTTCAAGTGTAATGCCCAGATGAACTGGCATTTAGAGTGAAAAACAGAAAACAGACGATAGCAAACGTTCGTTCACTTTCACCATGCAATCGCACACACAAACACACACACAGTGGCAAATTTAAATTGCTGGCCTTTTCGATTTTCGCGTTATATACACTTTTGTTTTTGGCTGCATTTATTAAAGCGCTTAATCAGCACGAATCGCGAATAAAACAAGAGCTCAAGGGAAAGGCGTTTTAATATATGTACGATTGCAGGAAAAACGAATCTAGACTAAGTAAGATCCATTGTTTACACTTTTCACGGTGGAGATGAAAAGAAGAAGACGCCGTTGACACGTTGCCCCTTTGATGGAGAGAGCGGGCGGAGCGGTACGAGCAGAGCGGGAAAGAAGCGGCGCAGCAGCAGCGGCTCACCGCACGCGTTCAGAAAAAAATCGAACTGAAAACGGTGGCCGTCGCTCGCCAAAAGCTTGTCAGCCAGCTGTGATGACCACTTGGATGTTTTTCGGACAAACCTGGTCAACCTACTTTTGTATGTTCATTAACCAAAAATTTGTTCTCGGCTTTTATAAATTGTTTCCGTTGAAGCAGATGTAAAACAGAATTTAAACTAACCTTTTCATCTAAAAACCTATCAGAAAATAAATTTTTAAACGTAACTATCAGAACCCTGCTCCAAAAAATTACGTGTCTCACAATTTTGTGCCAACACTGACAGAGAGCCACTCGAAAGCTGCGCACGTGAGAGATAGTGAGAGAGCGCAAGCTCGGTTGGGAGAGCGGGCAAAGTAGGCGAAAGAAAGCGGCTAAAGTGGGTGGTGCGATATGCAGTAATTCGCAAAGAATCTTGGCAGCAATTATGAAATGAAATGTAACGGCGAAAGCGAAAGGCGTGAGAATTCGATTAGACTGGCCGTGACATTTACCTCTTTGCCGTAATTTTGAAAGTTGAACTCCTGCGTGTCCTGGAGCATCTGCTGTGGGCTGTTGTAACCAAATTGGCGAAAGGGTATTGGCTCGCCCTCGATGGCCACGTAATCCCTTACTATGGACCGCAATTCGACCGGCGGCTTGGCGGAAGTGATCAGGGCCCTGACCACCTTGCCCACGTGCTTCAGGACCTCCTCCTTGTCCATTGAAATCAGTCAACAAATCTGCAGAGAGAGTAACGAGAAGAGAGTTAACCCATTGAGCATGACTCAAGTAATGTGGAATGCGTGCGCCTACAGCCACCCCCAATAAGAGCAACAATTAAGCATGCACTGCAAAAACAGAGCAGTATAAATAACAATTTTTAGTAATATGAAATTATTTTAAATACAAAACTTCGTTTTTCTAAGAATCAGTTTTTAATAAAACCTTTAAAAGGTCAAATTTTATGGCACGATTTTAGTTTCCGGACCGCCAAAATTTGAGGCCATAAATAATAATAAAGTGTCCGTTTCGGCCAAAAGTACCGATAAACATTGGCGGCCCGCTGCCCGCCCGCCGTGACGTGGCCTCAAATCTTAGCGCCAAAGTGCAACTACACGCGAACATAGATAAGGGATATGAGAAAAGTCAAATATGTAATGCGAAAAAGGCACAAAGAAAAACACAAGACTGCGGCGGCGCAGCAGGAGAAATGACCAAAAAATATGTCGGCTCAGCCATTTCAAGAGTGTTTGTTATTTGTGCAGAATTTGTTTTCGAGAAACCCGAGAGCTTCCTTATTATTCAGGAAATGTTTTAAAACTTTGTTCCAAGCAAAGGAAGGAATCTTCTAGTTTTTCTTACTCCTTTAAGTGCTTTCCGCTGCTGCACATATCAACATTGTTCCGTTATTCGCATAAAATGAAATAAAGCAAAGTTTAATTCACTTACCAAAATAAATATAATTTTAAAACGAATCTCAACTAGATATGCACTGCAATCTGCATAAACGAGACTTCTATTATTTGAAATGGAACGCTGAGAGCTCTATTTTTGTTGCTTTTTAAACGAATAACAAAAGTAAAATAAACATGCGGAGAAGCGATGCTCCTTATTTGACAACTTCAAAAAATATGGACTAGGGCTGAAAGATACCTCCATTTCAAAAATCCCCCTTAACTTGTTCATCAACCTTTTAAAAATGGTTGGAATCTCGGATGTTAACATTGATATTGTGTTCGTTAACATAGCCATAAACTGTAGTACTGTTAATTAAATATGAACTTTAAAAATTATTGCAATAATCAAGATATGAATGAATGAATGTGTTTTTTTCCAAAATATATTTTTGCTTCAGTATATTACTTAAATAAAACGCTGACAAACTTTGAAGACACCAGCAACATCTGGAATATTTTCCTGGGAGTAAGACTTGTGTTTTTTCCTTCTTCTTTTGTGGATTCTTTTGCTAGACTTCAGTTCGTCCTTTTTAAAAGCTTTTAATTCCGAATACGGTGAAATCCAAGGCGATGCAGGTTTTGCCAAATTTTTTCTGGGAAGTTGAGAAGGGGGCCTCACAACCACACTCACTGCTTGAAGATTGATGCCTGTGTCTTCGGCGGGATTCTCTGGCTGGATGGTATATGCTTGCAAGGGTTCGAAGGAGTCCCGGGGCTTTGGAGGCTCCTGAAAAGGTTCCATTCGAGCTGCTTGCGGAGGAGCAGCCTCGTACCTCTTCGGCTTCACTGGCCGTTTGACCTTCATCAGCTGCTGGTGCTCCTCCAACACGCGATCCGCCAGTTTCAGCTCCTCCTCCTTGGCCAATGCCAAGTCGTAGAGACTCTCCTTCTTGCTCGCAGGTCGTATTCCAAAGAAGACCCTTGGGTTTGTCTTCAGCGGTTTCTCCAATCGCTGAGGCGTCTTTTTCGCAGCTGGTTGTTCTTTGACCCGGAACTCCACATCCTCTTCAGAGTCCTGCAGAGGACACTCGTCCGAAGACTTACTGAGCAACTCCATCTCCAGGTAGTTAAGATTCTTCAGTACAGAAAGAGCATGCTGCTTGGAGTCCGAAATAATGTCCAACAGCTGTTTGACAGCTTTAGTTTTTGGGTTTTTCGATTTCTTAGGAGTATTGCAGGGTTTCATTTTTATCTTCCCCGTTTTCGGAGTGGGCGGGACAGGAGGTTGATATGGGGGTGGAGCAGGAGTGGAAGGGTGATCTTCTAATCGATCGGGATCCGGCAGGCAGAAGGTGGTGGGAGGACGCGCCGTGGTGGTGCTCTTGGTCGTCCGGCGAGTGGTGGTGGTGCGAGCTTTGGTGGTCGACGGACGGTTAGTGGTGGCCGTACACGACTGGGACTTAAGGGACACCTTGGACTTATCGGCCTTCGAGCTAACCACCTTGGCCAGCAGATTGGCCGTGGCAACAGCTGGCCTTCCACCGGGATCCCTCAACCTGTGAATGCTCATCATCCGCTTCACCTCCCGATTGGCTTCCTTTAGGTGCTCGAAGGGCTGCTCCTTGAAACGCTCTCGAGCCAGAGCATCAAAGGGGTCCTCGTTACGCATCTCCTGGCCATACGAACTAATTTCGCTGGGCAACTGGGAGATGCTATCTCTGAGCAACTGGGAATCAGTTTTCAGTTGCAGTTGGTTTTCAGGATTCGAAACTCTCTTAGGCTTTTCCTTCTCGATCCCCATTTCCTCCAAGTGGTCCAGTCGCTGGAAAAGAGTTTCCGGATCGCTGATATATCGCGTGACCTTGGGTTTCAGGTCCCGCCAATCGAACTCATCCCTTCTCTCGCTGCTGAAGTGGCGCCTCACCCAGTCGTCATTGGAATCGGAGGACCTGTAAGCCGCATGCTTTCCAATTCGTCCAGTTGCTGGACCAACGCTCGCCAGGATTACCATTGTGATTACTGAAAGTCCGATTATGCTGTGGCTCCGAATCCGCATTGACATTGTTTTCAGCAGCACATCTTGCTGAAATTGTCGCCCAGTTCATGTTTGTTAAATTCGTTATTTTTTGTCGTCAACCCAATGACACAATATGCTGATTAGTTGAGTTACATTAAAACCGTAGAGGTTTTAAAAAAAACATACTAATTTTTTTGAAGGGATTATAACTGTATTTTTAACTAATTTTGAACTGGCTAATTTATTTGGTTTGACTTTTAAAGTAGCTTTTAGCTACAATATTTAATTATATATGCTAAAAACTATAAATCTATTGCCACAAAACATTCTTTATATATAAAAACCTTAGCATTACAGAATTTTATAGAATTTTTCTTAATGGATAATGACAACATATTTTCCCAGAGAAAACTGGACAAAGACATGAAAAACTTTTAAGGACGCAGCAGTTGTCACGTCGCTGTAAAAGCAACAAAGCATAACGAAAACCAGAACATGGAAGGTTATTGGAAATCGGGCTGGAAAATGGAAAAGCTTTGCTGATTCAGTTTCGTGGCCACAGTCGATTTTTCCACGTTCAACTGTGCAGCACATCGGCGCAAAAATAAATAATAATTCGAAAAACATATAAGATTAGAATAAAAACTTAAATATATAAGAATCCAGAGAGTTTCCGAAACTCCTTCAAAGTTCAGTGATAAACCAATCTTCGCGAGTTCTGCACTCATATTTAAATGACACTCAAACGCAAAAGGCATAAAAACTAATTGTTTGTCGCGTTACAATTATTTAGTTTTCGTCTTCAGTCAAACGGAAACGCGATTTAGAAAAGTGCGATGACTGTCCTCAATATGCATACGAAAATGATAATATTGATTTTATTTTTCTACAACGGTTCCTACAACTGGAGTAAAAAGCTGTAAGAGCTCCTTGCAACCTTCCCCAACTTCTTCCCTTCGGCAGGCGGCCTTTGATTTTGTGTATGCCGTCCTGCGAGTCAAAATAAATAAGGTAATAACCGCCTATGTAGCTGCAGTCGCTCCTGCTTCCCAACTCCCTTTATCGATTTTGCAATTCGGCCTTTCACTTGGCCGCTTTCCCCACTGCAGTCCTCTGGGCCCCAAGCATCGAAACTGCCTACGGTCACTAGGCAACTCAGTTGGAAAAACAACACCAACGGCAGACAACAAAGAAATTGTCAATAAAAGTGCGCAAGAGCAGGGCATCCCCATTTACAGTGGTCGTTCGAAGAAAAGGATTCAAGTAAAATAGAAGTAATATTTAAAGGTATTTGAATTTTTTTTTTAAGAAAGAAAGATATTAGCAAAGAAATTATAGATATATAAAATTATATTCGAAAGTTTTCTTTTATGGTTTGTTGTATAAGTTCTGTAACTTAACATAATATTTATTTTTGTTTACGTTAAAATTGACTAATAACCTGGAACAGTTTAGAGCGATTGGTGGGTCCTATTAAATTAAATTTAACTTTTACAAATACGCTTTTTCAATATCTTTTCAATCGTCACATTTTATTTGAAAAATAACATTTTGTAAGGATTGCAATTTGAGAACTTCCTCCACTGTATTGCACCAAAGTGCGTTGTTCTTGTTTCCGCATATTTTTGACTTCCAGCCTCTGTTCCGTGTGGAACTTCCAGAGCTTTCCAGCGCCTGCGCCTTGGCTTCCTGTTGTTTTGATAGTAAAAAGGACAAAGCCTCGCTCACCAATACAAACAACAGGCGCTGGCTGTTGTTTACAAATACGCACGCCAGACACGCGGCACGTGGCGCAGGGAAATTTCCTGGAAAGCCGCGGGTCATCGGGTGGTTGGGAGGTCAACCCTCCACTTCCATTTCCTCCATTCCCATGATCCCACCAAACAATCCCGTTCCAAAAGGCCGGCCGGCTAGGCCGACCTGGCGGATGAGCAATGTCCCCCAATCGATGACGTCAGAGGTGGCCAGCGACATTGAACTAGTTTCATCAGCAGCGCACTGCTCAAATTTCTCCAGTGACGTCAATGGAGAAAGCCGAGGAATAAGCCAATAAGGCAGCCAGCTCGACCTCCGAACTTTGCCTTCCGCTTGGCTAAAGCCCATCCAATACCATTTACTGCCAATTGGTATTGGCCTGCCTCGTAAATCGTCTAACACGAAGCCCTGAGCTTCTTTTGCGCACCGAATTCATTAGCTAATTAATAAATGTGAATTTAATTTATTATTGTTTATGTGAAGCATGCCCTCCAAGTCAATTTGTTATATTTTAAATGCTTTTGAAGGTATAAAGATCATGTGTTCCTCAAACGGAATACTTTTAATACCAGGAAAAGTAAACTGAAGAAAATTATACTATTTTATTTTCTCATAAATCACTGTAAGCCCTTAAAAACTATTTCGAATGTTTAATGTCATGGTAGTCTAGAAAATTCTGCAAATAAACGAAAACATTAGGGTTAAACGAGCATAACAAACAAACAATAAACAAGAACTAAAAATACCCCAAATTTAAGCTCGACATTGAGAAGCCATACATTTTTATTTCGAGATAATTCTTTTGATAACTCAGTACAGCAAATAACCAGAAATAATGGAGGTAATCTTTGACTTCCCGTAAATAGTGCGTAGTAGGTGGTCAGTACTTTTCCTCAATCTTTACAACATTCATGAACTTATTATGTATGTAGTTCTCTCAACCCAAACATTACTACAGATTCTTATCGCTAAAATACTGCACTGGTCGTCGGATTAATTAGACTATGCCGTGGGTTGTCTGCCTCCTCGTATTTAATTGCTGTTTTTCTAGTTTTGTTCTCGCGAAATGACCTTGGGCTAGTGCAATATACTTAATTCAAATTGCACCATCAAAAATGTTTGTCTACATCTCGGCAAACAAAACAAGAATTTCATTACGGCGCAGATACACAGATCTCTCGACTATATGGCAGCTATATAAAATGGCACAAATGGGCGGCCAGTGTGCATAATGCAGGGGGTGGCGGGGGCGTGGCAGTCGGCCTGGTTGGCAGAGTCTGTCGACAGCAACAAGAGAATAAAACGCCACTGCTTTGGCATTGTTCCGTGTGCTGGGGCCTCGAGAAAATTGGGATCGCAAGAAGTGCTGCCAAAGGCGCCCTAGGCCTACGAATGGGAGTACAGTAGCTGCTGGATATGGTGAAAATATTTATTTAAAAAATATATTTAATAAAATATTTTAAATTGTTTTTATTTGATCATTACACCTTATCTAGTCATTGCACACAATATATTTATTCCACACAATTTTCTGATCACCGAAAAGGTTCAAAGAAGTTCCACTGTAATAAATTCTTTTTGTTTTCGTAAACAAGAGCCCAAGCAGAGCCCATTGGTTGCCAATTAGTTTGTGACACTTATAAAATCCTGGGCCTCCTAAGCGTTTTGTTTATTACAATAATACGTATACGTAGTTGGCAGGCGTTTTTAGCCCTTTTCACGCCCACTTTGCCCCATTTTGACCTTGGTTGGCTGCAACCAGTTGGCATTTCGAGTGGCTGCATTATGTGCTAATGTCCCGTTCCCACCAACCACCAGGTGTGTGGGAAATTCATAAGGTATCCATGTCAGAATCTGGGGAGTGCATCGAGTCGGATAATAATAAAAACAAGAAGGAGGAGGAGGCAGTGGAAAACCAACTCCGGGGACAAATTTTCCACTTCGTCGGTTATGAAATCCAATGTGTTTTATACTAAGGGGACCACAAATCATATAAATAGATCATAAACAAACGTTGACTCAGTGCGATAAGACCAAGTTACTAAAATCAAAGTAAGCTAATGAGTAAATAAAGAAATGGCGTGACTAACTGTTTATCGTGATTTCTACCAGACCGAATCAAAATGAGTTCTAGTTTATTTACTTTTGCACCCCTAAGCTGAGCTTGTATTTAACAATCCCCCTTTTCTTCTTTTCGTTACAGCGCTCCTATCCCAACAATAACAACATAATCGCCTAAATAATAACATCCGATTTGTTTACTTTACGAACCGACGGAGCAAAACAAAAATCGCCTTCGAATTCAGCTCCCCTTATCTTTTGTGGAATTTTTCAAGCTTTTTTTGCGTCATAAATTGAAATATTTCGAGTTCGCGCGAATAAGGCAAAAACCGAACCATAGAAACTGTGTCAGTCGCTGCCGCAGTCGCAGTCGCCGTCGCCGTCGCTGTCGACGTCGACAGAGTGCCGACTTCCATATCGGCCGATCGTTTATATAGCTGGCGTACCGCACTCGATTTTCATCAGTCGCTACGCGTCTCTCAACACAAACGGAGCTCACACGCCCTCGAAAAGCGGAAAAGCCAAGGGAAATCGTTCGGAAATAGCAAGTGCAAGTGCATAATATACGCAGGCATCTAGTACTTCTGCCCAGTGTCGAACAAAATCCTCTTCGATGTCGATTAACTCGCCAATATCGTTAAAAAACTCGGACCTGTATTAACCAGGCAAAGGCGACCTTTAATACAAAAAACAAACAAATTGTCTAAGCCAAAGCAGCCAAAACAAAGACTAAGCCAAGGCAAATAAAAAACACCGCAAACAACAAGTTGTTTGCTTTTAGTTCGCGTTCCCCTTATTTTATTTTCCTTCCGTTCGGTTTTCCACGCACGCGCGTCGAAAAAATATTTAAAACAGTTGAAAACCAACTGTTGCATCCGACCAGCCAAATCGAAACGAAACTATCTTTGACTTTCAAGTGGAAACGCGAAAAGCCGCATATAATACAAAGTTTTGTGTGAAGAAAGCGAACGAAACCCGAGAACTTCACCAGGAAAACAACAATTTCGTTTATTGGGCTTAGGCCATTGTATGGGTGAGTAGTAAAATAAATTGTTAATATAAGTTGTAAGGGAAAAACATGATTAGTCGCTGGTCTAAATTTAAACAACTTTATTGCACTGCACTTAGAAATATAAATCAGAACCCCTAGCAACTGCTTAAAAATAGTCAGCTATTTAAATCTCAAAATATGTGCATAGTGCGGATGCAAAAAAAACCATTCTGTAAAAACGAAAAATGATATCGTCAGAAGGAAAACAAAGGAAATTGCTCAGCGGCCAGAAACGATGAGAACAAAAACAGAACATCCTAGACCATAAAATAAACAAATGATGTTTTCGTGCACATTGTATGAACCGGGAAAATAGAGGCAGAGTAAACTCCACGTTCTCACATCCGGTGATTCACGTGCAATTAGCGATAATTGCGCGTGCCTGTGAATAACTTGAGTGTGGCACATTCGAATGCGGAGCCAGAGCTTCGAGTTCCACTGAGTCACATTGCAAACAAGGCAATGCCAAGTGAAACGCAGAATGTCTAATCGAAAACATACGCCCCAAATCAAAGCAAGATAAGCTCGTGACGCTGGTCGAGATGGAGATTTCGCAGAAAATCACATGCTGTGCCCCCTGACCTCTTGTTTTCCCACTCGTCGTGGCACGTGGACACTTACTGGCATTCCAAACATTATTGCTGCTTATTCCGCTGTGCGCTTGTTGTGTTTTATTGGCTGCAACTAGCGAAAGTTGGCAATCAGCACTTGAAACCCATTTGGAGGTCCCCGCCCACTTCCTGCCTCCCATTGATAACGAGTACATTGTATTGTGTGGACATTGTATTGCCGTATGGCACTTGTTTATTGCTGCTAGACGAACGACTGTACTGCCAGATGATTGCTCTTCCTGGCAACACACTGCCAGAAAAACGGGGGTCTTAGCAGACAGATGGTCCGACTTACCTGGGCTTAATTATCGGCTCATTTGACTTTGAGAAGGGCAGCCACTTACCTGCTGTGTCGAGATTGAAGTCAATTACGAAAGGGATTTTTCCTAATCAGCAAAAGGGATCAACGAGGGGAAAGGTCAAGAGGCCTGACCTTAATAATGTATAGTCTGGAGCTCAAGATTATAAATAACAGAAAACAGTTCATAATCTTATGAGAGTATAAAATTTTAGTAAATATTTCTTCAGATTTAGGTGCTAGAAGTAGAAACTATAGAAGTTCTAAATATAAACCGAAGTAATTTTCATTTCACGAATAATCTTATCAAATACAGTTCAGGGTTTTTCGTTATTTATTGCTAAATATTAGTGTTATTATTGTAAAAGCTTTATTTCTTTTCAAATATGAAAAATACGGCTTCCCGTTGGTTAAACAGAATTATTATTATTTAACATTATAAATCTGCAAGGTTAAGAAGGATTAGAGGACTTTAAGATCATCTAAAAACTAAATTTTAGAGAATTGAATAAAAGTGAAATAGAGTCAGGATAATAGGTTGAGTACTGACCAAAAATCATTCTAATAAGATTATCCTTTATCGTTTTTCGAAAACAGATCAGTCTAAACAAACGACGAAACTTGGAGACGAGCCGGACCTCCTGTTCAAGCGAGCGCAGGGCCGGATTAGTCTGATCAGTGCTGGAGTCGGAGCCACCCAGGCTGGCCAAGCTGCCCAACCACCAACGCTGCATTCAAGCCAACAGTTCGCCAACATTCAACTAGACGCCACGCTCAATGACTGCGAAAGTGGCTATGTGCCCACCGTGGGCCGATGGGGTGCCGAATGGCCGAGTTGACTCGCCGCTGCCACCCACCATCGACGGGAGGGGGCGTGGCCCGGCCTCCAGTGGAGGAGGGGGCCATCGCCGCCGCCGCCGCTGCCCAGGATCCGTTGCTCCCAGCGGATCAGCAGCTGGCGGACGCGGTGCGCGGTCTGGGATTGGGATTGACTACGACGCGAACAGCCGTCGTTGCCGCCTCAATTGATCGACCGACTGGACATGGCACCGGGGCCATCCGTCGCACACCCTCCACCTCCAGCGAGGAGGACTTGGAGGAGGACGAGGAGCTGGTGCCTCCGACCGATCTGACATCGGTGGACGGATCGGAGCGCTACTCCGACATCCGGCAGCTGCTGGCCAAGCAGCAGCGAATCGGCGAGGGAATCGCCCACGGATCCGCCGACTGGATCGTGGGCGATGGCTACGATCTGGAGGCCTTCAGCCAGGTGAACGGAGTGTGGCCCTTGGGCCATCCGTTGCCGCTGCCCGACTGGTCGGGTCCGGAGTCCGGCAAGGGCACCCTCCTCTTCGACAATGTCTGGCAGTACGAGGAGCTGAACGGGGTTGTGGAGACCACGCTGCAGCGGATGCTGGAGGAGACGCACTACAACACGGTCAACCTGTTCGTGGACTTCTATCGCAGCTTCAAGCGCACCCGTCGCTCGGACTTGAGGAGCTTCTTCCAGTTCTACGATGTGCCCATCAACAGGCGGCACCACATGTGCGTCTCCCTGGCCTTCGAGATCATGGCCAGGATGGTGCAGCTCTTCCCTGTGCTGGCCAACTACCTGTATGTGGTGTCCTGCGAGGAGCAGGTGATGGACTGCCAGGACTACGTTCACCTGGACGAGGAGTGCGGCCTGAATTCGGTGGATGCGGGTGTGGAGAAGGAGCACGTGATGGTCGCCATGCGGATTGCCATTGGCGAGCGTCGTGGTGTGATGATCCTGGATCCGGGCTACCATGTCAGCCGAGCCGTGACCGTTATGCAGGATCAGAGCTATCCACATACGGGTAAGGTTTTACATCTTAATCCATTTTTAAATGATTACTTACAGTTTTGATCCTTTCCAGGCTGGTTCACCCAATCCAAGGAACCCCATCTGCAGCGCGACTACTGCTACGCTTACAGCCAGCAGAACGACAAGTTCGTGGAGTGGAAGGAGCGCGAGATCCGTGGCGAGGACACCAGCTACAAGACCTCCTTGATCTACGTGGCCCAGGAGTACATCACCGCCATCGATGTTACCGTGCGGCGTAATCTGGTGTACAACTTCCGATCGCTGCTGTCGCGAGATGCCAAGGGTCAGGTGACCTCGGGCATCTACTTCCCACTGGTGGCCAATGGCCAGGAGGCCTACTTGACCATCTTCTACGACGGACCCAATGAGCAGCGGGTGCGGACCAAGCTGATGTTCACCGCGTTTAAGGTTGGCAAGGGAAAGGTAAGGATTTCACCTTAAGTTCCCCGAATGAAAAGAGTTTAATTAACCATTTTATTCTCTTTTTAGCTCCCAGATTACTTAGTGCAACATCTTAGCCGCTTGGCGCCTCAGTTGAAGATGCCCCTGCAGGAACTCACAGATCTCTGCAAATCCCTAGCCGAGGTGGTCCTTGACCAGAGCTTTATTAGCCAGGTTTTGGCCATAAACGACGACATCGGCAACATGTCCGTAGAGAATTGACAGTTAAAGGAGCCTAAGGATGTCGCTGCTACGGAAACGGAAACGGAAACGAAGAAGAAGATGGAGAAACTGGCGATAAAAGACACTGACAACGCAGCTGCAACTTAGAGTTCCGACCCTTTGAATACTTTGTCCTTTCCACAGTAATATTCTTTTTTAGTAGCACCTAGGCACCTCTTACACCAGCACACACGATTCAAGGATATATTTCAATTTAGTCTAGTATATATTTCAAAATATGTATTCACCTATAAACACGAAACACACGCACACACTCTATATATGGTAATCCCAATTGAATTATTTAACCGAAAGCAAAACGCAATTTAATCAAAACTAAAAGGCGCAAAGCATAGATTTCGATTTTTACTTAGCTTCTGTTTATTTCGATCTAAGTATATACGTATGCGCAACTATATAAAGGCAAAATTAGTTAATAACTGGTATCGAGGCAAAACAAAAATTGTAATTGTTATATCAACATATTTCCGTTTTAACACTTAAATGCACTTTACGATTTCGGTTCAATAAATAAATCAGCTAGCAGAAGTAAAATGTCTTTTTATTTAGGGGAGGAGCACATAAAAACAATACAAAAAACTATACAATAAGACAAAAGGATAACAAGTTTGTTAATTTAAATTTAAATTTCGATTTTTGTATGTTAACAGTATCGATAAATTTCATAACAGTGGCTTAACATACATGCTTAACATTTTACAACTTTAATCAACCGGAGTCACACTGAGGGGGAAAAACAACCAAATTAACTTAAACTATTAGCTAAACGTAAACGATGTCGTTAAATAAACTCAAGCACCTTTATTAGATACCTTGAATAAATCTCATTGGCCTACTTTGGGCATACTGCCAAGAAACATCGATAGTTGCAACCAACAATCGATATTGAAGCCAAAGAGAAAACATTAATGCATCCCTCGTTCAAGTTTGTTTTTCGGTCGTCTGCAGTTTTTTAATTAAATTACTTTAAATCAGCGTTTTCGTGAGTGCACACTAATGCAAAAACTGTCCTCCCACTTTCTCAAAACCCTGCTCAATCAAATTGCTGCCACCATCAGCTGTTTTTTCGCGTGATCAGCCGGTAAAAAGGTAATATTCACCTGTTTAACCAAACAGCAACAAGTGAAACAAAACAACAACAACCGTGAAACAAGTTCTTGGCAGAAAGGCGCGCAATTAAAACTAACGTTTAGTTCGCTTTTGAATTTCTCGCCGATCGGTTGTGGCAACAAGGGCCCGCTGGATAAACCGGTTTCGAACTCTTCCGACTGTTTTTTCGAAAACGTGACAGAAGCCCAAGTACGAAGAAGCTCCGCAAAGCCTTTAATTGAAAAAGGGTGTCAATATTAACATAGAAAAAGTGGCACAAGTGCATTTCCCACTGTGGCGACTTAATTAAAGGTAAAAATAAGAAACCGTTTGCAAGGGCACCGCCAGCAACAACAATAGAAAAAGAAAGTTAACCATATGCAGCCAAATTGACAACGGCCAACAGCAACAACAACAATAAAACTGCTAAGCTTTTGCGCTTTGTTGACGGAAGTCGAAACTCTTGACAGCACGATCATAGAGTAATACGTACACACAGAAAAAACTAAACACTTTCGGTGATTATCTTGATTGCTCTTCAATCACCAAAAAGATTGTTATCATAAAGCACAACAAAATTATGGCTTTACAAGAAAATTACTTCATAAAAAACATAACGTTTTGCATTTAGTGGAAAAGGAAACTTATAGCTCTAAAATATGTTTATTAGCAGGAGTACAAAGTTCAGACCAGAAATTGTTTCAAATAAAAAAATCAAAATTGCAACGGTTTTGAAACAACAAATAAGAAATTACATGGGAGAGAAGTTTTAGCAGGAAAACCGTAAATGCATATTATCATTCATACAGTTACATAACCCTGTAAACTCTTAAAAAGTGAATATCGAGCCGATTTCTTTTTGTGTACTATGTTAAGGTCGCCCGCCCCGATATTTCCCCTTCTCACCTTTCAAGAAGCAGAAGAAACCGACCCTCGTTGTTGCTGCTTAGCGCCTCAGTCATTTCCAGCTTTGGCCCCAAATTCACTATTTTGGCCCCGTTCATTGGCTTTGGCTCTAAGCTCGGTTTCGGTTCTTCAACTTTCATTCCGCCGCTGTTTGGGTTTTTAATTTGCATTTTACGAGCACACCTTAGTTCGTTCTCTCTGTCTCTTAATAAAGGCGACGGAGTATCTCTTTCCAGGTAGCATATATCCAATTTAATTGTTCCTCCTCCCGGCTGAAAATGAAGATTCGAGTGCACCGCTCGGAGTCAAAGTGCAAATATGCATAAATCCGTGGCTAAACAATCACGCTCGCTTTATTAGCCCGGCTAACGAACGTTCGAAATTGCTGAGCAAACATAAAAAGCCGCATGCGAAAAGACAACAACTTAAGTCGTTGCAGGGCCAATGGGGTTAAGTAGAATATTAAATATACTCACTCATAAAAATGTACTCAAAAAGTATCGCACATCTAATTTCTTAGATTGAATAGTTAGTCTGATCCAAACCATTTACTTAAAAAAAACTTTAATTAAAATTAAATGCCATTTATTTAGTCCACTGACTTTCAAACTAATGTTTATCCATCAATTAGATTAAAATCGTTCCACTGGATATCATTTGAACGTGTAATTAGACTGTTAATAACTGCTCTTAATTGTTGAGGTAAACTGGAATACATACTATAGAAATTAATAATTAACAATCCAACGAATACGCCCAGCATATTCCCGCTGAAATTCGGATCGCGAAATCTTGCTGACTCAGTTGAAGAGTTTCGCAAAGTGCACTCCACGCGAGTTGTCTCGCCAATATTGATAGTGTTGCCGGCTAATGGCTGTGACGAACCGTGATCGGTTTTCTTATCAGTTAGTGAACCTTGCCCTGCTAAACAATTTGATTTCTTATCAAGATTTGTATTCCCTTGCAGAGTTCCGAACAGACTGTATAAACCGTAATCATGCTGGGCACCTTGTTGTGGATATTTTTCGTGGGACTGTTGCTGTGCGCGTTCCTCTTCTCGAAGACCACCAAGGAGTTCCCCAAGTCCTGGTTCGAATGGAAGACGGAGTTTCGGTACCAGTACATCGGCATCGTGGGGTTGGTTCACGATGCTCAATATGCGGCGCGGGATCGTGTGGGTAAGTAGATAGCAGCTAGTAGCTAGTAAATCACCAGCTGATGCTTATCCCACGGCCGTTAATTGTCGCCATTATCCATTAAGCACTTTATAAGCAACCGGACCGCATTGCTGTCATCACCGGAGGCAACCGCGGCATCGGACTGAGGATCGTGGAGAAGCTGCTGGCCTGCGACATGACTGTCGTCATGGGTGAGTTGACCATTTCGCCGGGGAACTTGTTTTAGCCCTCGCCCTAAGTCGGCGATCTGTTTACTAATTCCACAAACATTTGACGTGCTGCACTGCACGTGATTGGAAAGCAGAAAGCATTTCGAAATGCAGATATACATATCTGCAGCGTGACTCCCACCGTTGTCAGTCCGATCGAGAAATCATGATCTATACGCCTGCCTTCATTATCTAACCAAGTCGCGCACATCGATTTTTGGGTATTCATGCGATAAGAGTTCGTTGACTTTACAGAGAAAAGTAGTCTATTTTTGTCAGTTTTTTAATTATTTTTTTAACTAATTACTGATTAACTTAAACGATTTCAGATGTCTATTGTTAATTTAATTTATTTTTAAATAAGTAAACGATTTAAAAAATCAAACAGTGGATAGCTAAAGTTATATCAAAGTTCAGTTACAAATTCAATTAACAGTTAACAGTTTAACATTTAAATGTTAAAATCTACGTTCAGAAAATGTATACTCTACATATGTAGAATACAGCTACTGTCGACTGTCACTAGAGGTCGGTAAAACATATGCGTAGTTTCCATGTAAAAAGTCATGTATAATGGTTAACATTGACATTAACTACTCTACTCACTCTAGGTGTTCGTGATCCCCGAAGCGCCGAAGCCGCCGTTGCATCTATTGTGGATTTAAAAGCGAGTAAGGGCAAGCTCATCTGTGAGCAACTGGACGTTGGAGACATAAAGTCGGTGAAGGCCTTTGCCCAGCTGATCAAGGAGCGCTACTCAAAGGTGGACTTGCTGCTGAACAATGCCGGAATTATGTTTGCGCCCTTCAAGCTCACCGCCGATGGCTACGAGTCGCACTTTGCCATCAACTTCCTGGGCCACTTTCTGCTCAGCCACTTGCTTTTGCCTCAATTGAAGGCAGCTGGCAAGGAGGGAAAGAATGCCAGGATCGTTAACGTAAGTTCTTGTGTGAATCTCATTGGACGCATTAACTACAAGGATATCAACGGAACGTGAGTTTGATTTAAATACCCTGAGGTTCTTCACTTAGTAGGTTTATTTTTCCTTAGGAAATACTACTACCCAGGAACTGCCTACAGCCAGTCGAAGCTGGCCCAGATCTTGTTCACTCGCCATCTGCAAACCCTGCTCGATGCGGAAAACGCACACGTACAAGTGAATGTGGTGCATCCGGGCATTGTGGACACGGACCTGTTCGAGCACTCGGCCACCACATCGGTGCCCATCTTCAAGAAGCTCTTCTTCAAGACGCCAGAACGGGGATCCCGCACAGTGGTCTTCGCGGCCATCGATCCATCCATCGAGGGTCAGGGCGGCACTTACCTGAGCAACGGCGGCAAGGGCCCCTTCCATCCGGACGCCAAGAAGCCGGCCAAGTGCGAGCAGCTCTTCCAGTTCTCCTGCGACCTGCTGAAGATCAAGCAGTACGGAAACGGCGAGCTCTAAAACCCACATACTCCCTCAGTCTTTTACAATACTCCTCTACTGGTGCAACGTACTTTTCTAGATTCCGTCAGTTTTTTTGTAAATCGATTTCTTGTATGGCTTTGTATAAAACACACTTTTATATAGATCTGCAGCTGGTGTTCTGCACTATCCGGATCCTAGGAACTACTGATGCTAATCTGGCCGGAGTGCTGTGCCAGGTTTTAATTAACTTGTCTTCGGTTGATTGCCATCAGGGGGACAGCGAATGCAATTAAAAGAGCAGCACACTGTGGCAACAAACATTTTCGAACTGCACTCAACTTTTGGCGGCGGCAGCTTGAAAGGCGACAACAACAGCAACACAGCCACATCTGCTATATGTCAAATTTACGAAAAAGCAAACAATTTAATTTTGTGCGCCTCCTCAAACAATGAGCGATTAACATTCAACATTTCGGAGGAATTTTAATCGACTCCAGTTGCGGGCGGGATTCGGTGGTTAAGGGAGAGGGAGGCGGGCACTCAGGTGGGCAGGTAGGTGTATCACTTCAAAGAAAAAAAACAGCCAAGAAACACAAAACAAAAACAACTCGGCTGTCACTTAAGCGAGCTGAGCGTTCAAAACGAACGACATGCTGGATACAAAAAAAAACAATCTCATATTTAATGCATATCCAAAAAAGAGTCCATCGGTTTATGAAGAGATAGACCCGGCGATAACTCAATGTGTGAAGCTGCCGATGCGGTGGGCGCTGTCATCAATCAAAACCTCGGTGGACGACGACATTCGACGAAGGCCCAGATTCCCAGGCTGTCTCTGATGCGGAGTGGGTTCCCAAATGAACTCATCTCCGGCGGCTCTTTTTATATGTTGCATGTTTGGCGGGCATTAGCAGCTTAATTGGATTTTGGATAGCTTATAGATCGTTGGAAAGGGAGCAAAACAGGGATAAGGATTAAGTTAACAGAGGGATACAAAATATCCTTAACTCATTTTGGTATAGCAACCGAATTAAAGAGTTTATATGAAGGGGAAGGTCATCAAGAAAAGCTAATTAAATCTGGATTGCAAAAATGGATTACTGAATTGGTTCTTTGATGGGTAAACTTTACTTAGTCAACACATCATTTTTATTAATTTATAAATCCACTTTTAATGAGTTATTTATTTATACCAATTCACTTGCAACTCTGATTGACTTTATTCCACTTACTCGAGCACCCATTGACCATTTCTGGCCCGTGAGTAGAAGCCAAGAGCACCAGCCATTGTGGCATTCCCCTTTCAACAAGATTCTTGGCTGGGTCCGGCTTCATTTTCAATTTCAGTGGCATCTCCGGCTACGGCTGCCACAATCCAATTAACCTTTTGACATTTAGCGACAGACTGAGTGAGCGACCGAGACTTCTTAGCCACTTGGCAATGGCTAATGACCACGCGTAAATCAAATAAACCCGGCTGCATTGCCGGTTTATGCGGATGCAACCGATCGCAGAGTGCACCGGCGGTAATTAAAACACTCAACGTGCCTCACCTGACAAGCTCAAACGATTCGCCGGCAGCTGCTGCACACAGCGAATTAATCTGCAACCAATTACATTGTTTTCCTCTGAACTGCCTTTAATATTACACTAATAATGTGTAATATTTATAATTAAAAATTGCCAACTATCTATTCCAAAAAAGACAAGTTATAATCACAACAAAATTTACGAAAATAAGAAAAGTTTAGTATGTTTAATAATTTATTTTAATAGGTTCGAAATGTTTTAAAAATATAAAAATAAATCTGAATTCTTTAGAAATCGTTTGCTAATTTTTTAACGGATAACCAATAGTTTGCTAATTGACAGTAACATTTTAATGCGTTTTTGCAAAACATATTGAATAATTTTTCATGGTTTTTAAAGATTTAAAATGACTTTACAAGAGTTGTAAAAATTATTAGGTTTACTATCATCATAAACATATTGCGAACTAAATAAGACAATAAGATTGCTTAAAGAAAAACTACTGAAGAATGGCTATTGGGAAGTTAAGTTAACAGCATTCCTTAATGTTTTTCTCCAAGTGAGATCTTAATAAACTTATCGGATGGCCTGGCACCAATGCTCATTTGGATTGGGGATTGTGGATTCCTCATTTAAGTTATGGCTTGATTTTGACACCTGGCCGAGGAAGTTTTTCGGAAGGAGATGCTGCCACTGCCATTTTCGCTGTTAGGTTTTTTTCTTGTGGTTGCAACTCCGACGCCCACAGCAGCAATTTGGCCGAATCTTGCCACATCGTTTAATTTCCACACGCTTCTAAAACGGCTAACGGAGCATAACAATGCTCGTGGAGGGGCGGCAGGTGTTTGGATTGGGGGTGGTGCTGCCGAGTGGTGGCAAGTTGTGGGAGGCAGTGGGCGGCGGTGGGCTGAGGTGTATGCTGCCCACACGCGCTGATGTTTCGTCGCCGCCGCGGAGAAAAACGTGAGCACATGCGTCGATGGCGTGGGCGCCATAAATCACCTCATGATTAATGTACAGGCACTTGGCGAAAACCAGAAGAAGCGTCGACAAGCTGGCTCGTAGCTGTGAATTTAATTGGAGCAGCAAATTGTTGCTAAGAATTCGCCGCCGGTTGAGTGCAGCAAAATTGCTGTAGCTTCTTTTGTTCGGCCGGGCAGCACACATTTAAATAAAAACAACATTAAGTGGGAGAGCAGTTGGGTTGGTCAAGCAGATGACCAGTGCGATCTTAGGAAACCCTGGACAATTAATGGCCCGAGATCCGTGGCATCCATCTGAAGATCCGCTGGGGAATGCTTTGTGGCAAAAGAGTGGGAGCGACCCCATCGGACCCCGAGAACTCCAGCTGTGCATACGAATGCGCATAACTGGGATGATGAATTTGGCCGAGATAATTATATGGCCGCTCTAAACTTGGCTCGGTGTGGAGTGAGTGAGCAGCGGGTAATAAAGATTTGGCCAAAGTGCTGTTTTACAAGTTTTACAACCTTTAATTGCTTTACAGATTTTTGCTCGTTTCCGTTTATTTCGGGTGAGTTAAGGTGTTGAATCTGATGAAACTTAAAACAGTTGCTTATCAGTTTCGTTTTAATTTTTATTATATTATTTCGATAGATTATAGATTAGCAGACTATAAATAGATGTGCCAATCATTTTGGACATAAAAAGCGAACCGTATTCGCTTATCTTGAGACAAAATACAAATGAGATTATTGAATGGTATACGATTTCAAAAGAAAGTTCCCATCACGTATACGCACTGTAAACAGCTACCATGTTATGTGTTCGCCTCTTTGTTTCGCTTGTATTTCCAATTTATTATGCATAATTACTTTGAGTAATGATCAATCAATTCGACCCTTGCCAATTTGCATATTGACACCTTCTTCCCCTCGATTCGTTTAAGCCTTACAATTGCTCTGCGGATTATTTTTGGAAGCACTTCAATAGTTTGGCCCTGCCAAAAAAAAGGCGGCTTGTGAGAAAGAAACAATATACGGATATTCGCATTATTTTCGATGCCCTTTGGCGCCACTTTGATGTGGTTTTTTGTGTTGTGATGAAGCTGGCATTGCTGGCCCATTTAACGCTTTATTATTTCTTGTATTGGCCACAAAGACCAAAGACTCTCGGCGGCAAAGAAATTTGCCATCGAAACCATTGAGTTCCTCGGCTCAAGTGTAATTAATCTTGAGTATTTACACAGCTCTGAGTATCTCAGTGAACTTGGGAACAGACGGACATCCGTTTGGTTTCGGTGTTTTCCTTGAAAAATTAGAGTATCTAGAGCGATGACATATTGACAGGAATAAAGGAGCCACTAGCTCACCGACTGACACACAAGCCGGGCCTCAATTACCCCGAACAATTGTTACAAAGTTCGACTGTTGCATAAACCACAAACAAGCAAATGGCCCAGAAAAAAAGTGTTAGGACTGACTGGCTGACAGGCGGCTCTCCAACGACCTTGTCCACGCTCGAAAACTGTATCAAGTAGCAGCAGGAAATTGGGTGACGATGCTCCATCCGTCGCTGCATTTCGTAGATAAAAGTGAATGTTTATGATACTTCAGATCTCGAACTCTTGTGGTAACCGCCACAGAAATTCCCAACAACAAAGAAGACACACGAACGCGACTGGATTTGGGATTGGAATTGAATTGGATTGCTTTGGTTTGGTTTTGGTTTTGGTTTTGGTTTTTTGGGATCGGGTTTGGGTTTCTGTTTGGGGCCGCGATTACGCAGCATCGAAAAAAACCGTACTCGAGTATGCAGAGCGAAATGTGAGTTAGAAAGTGAGTTAAGACCCTTCGAGGGGCTCCCACCAGTCGCAGCGTTCGAACTTATTTGGATACTTTAATTAAGTAAACTGCCACTTATGCAACACCAGTTTAGGTTCACCTAATTGATCCCACCGCTGTAATTACTGTCGTGTTATTGTTTCTGCGACGAAAGGCGATTCGATTAGGTTGGAGACGAATAAAACAAGTGCAGAGGTAATTTACTAAAGGGTTTTTACAACCTAACTGAAATCAGTTAATAATTAAATCCGAATTAAATATTTTTAAATAAAAATTTGTTATCATACACTGATCGACTTTTCCTTCAAAACATTTAACAAAGCCTCGTTAAAGTTATTTAAAATCTTTTTTAACCAATTTTATGTATTCATAATCTGATAAATAGGTATTTTATTTAATAATCTAATCTAATCTAATCTTAAATCTAATAAAATATTTTGTTTGCATTACAAAGGAAGTCTGTAAGCCTTTTGATCGTATTGAAAGCAGATGTTTTGCCGATTTCCCAATGGGTTCCTCTTGTTCAGGTGGCTTAGTTTTGCCGCATCATGCCCACAATTATGCGATGTGCCAATGGTGGGCCAGCCTGCTCCGCCAGAGAACTCCTGGTGCAGCACCAGCAATTGGGCCTAATTCGAGCCATTGTTGGTGCCGTGGGTGCCAATTAAACTGCTATTTAGTGCCCAGTGCCAGGAGGCCATCGGTTCCGCTCTAATCTTATTTATGCTCATTGATTTCTTGTCAGCCTTTTATTGCCAGCCGAAAGATCCGCGATGGCAGGTGGGGATACGGATGGGCTTGGGTATACATAAGTATGAGTTTGGGGTATGGAGTATGGAGAGCTGAGCCAAGTCGACTGGGGTTGTGAAAGAACCGACGAACTGCCAAATAAAAGATTTTTCGCAACAGCCCCGAAATCATTACGAAAATTCTGCCAACTGCAAGTCGAAGACTCGAAAGATTTTTCATTTAGCAAAAATCATATGTCAAACACTCAACAGAAATAGACGCTGCCTGGTTGGCGGTGGCGGCATTCAGCACATTCACCTGCCTCACAAAAAACTGAGCCAAGATTGCTTCCTAAGCTTCCTTCTACCTGTCGGCCCAGCTTAGACTCCGAAAAACAAAAAATAA